CCTTTGATGAAACTTGCCTATTGTGCTGACCCCAATACACAACTGATGGCCTCCTGCCAGGTGGGTGGGGCCCAACAATGGCAAGTGATGCGTCCCATGAGGGGAAAAAAGACGTGAGTTGTATATCAGGACTGATTATGTGTTCATTTCTTCTGAGTGGATAACGGCACAGAAAATGGCTGGCACTGGATCAATCACGGGGTTTGATCATGCCCTAGTATCAGCTACTCTTTTCATAATGCACCACCAACCTAAATTGTTTTTCTGGAAACAGCGTCCCGCCATAATGTTGTGCCAGGAGTCTAGAGACAAATTAAGGAAAAAACAAAAGCAAAAACCCGAGATGCTTCCTATAAATATAATACTCCCGAAATAGATCCACACGTATTATGGTACTCTGTGAAAACAGTCATAAGGGGACAACGTGTGAAGGAATGGAGTAAACTAATGATACATTAAAAGTCAATTGTTCTCAGAGCCTCAGAAGAAAAGCACAGGAAAACAGAGCACAGGCCAAAATCTTGCTGCAAGGTCAAACCTAGAGGCTGAGGGGCATCCTGTGCACAGAATGTGGCACAGCAGCAGCTGTCTCCACCATGGCTACACTGCACGCCACCTATTTTTTTTCTCATCAGCCATTTTCAGCCATCTAGATAAAGCACCAGGAAGGGGAGGGCAGGAGGCCAGACCACAGATGGGAACTGGCATAGACCCCCAGCCATAGCTTCTTCTGCTCCCTGCACCCTGGTGTGCCCTTTTTGGCCCTCTCTGAGGCTCAGATCATCTGGAGTATTTAAATCAAGAGTCAAAGGATTCTGTGGAGTTCCAGTTCCAAGATGGAGAATGTATTCATTTTGTCCTCAGTCCCTGTACAAATGGACTTCATCTGAGCTGAAGGCAAATGCAATTCAAGCAATATATAAGTTATAATAAATTTACACAAATATACGTTAGATTACACCCCTCCCTACACACACACTCTTATTTATTTATTTATTTATTTATTGCTTGCTTGCTTGCTTGCTTGCTTGCATTTATATACCACCCCAATAGCCCAGAGGGCTCTCTGGGTGGTTTACAAATATTAAAACCCCACCAATCCTAAAATAAATAAGTTGGCTACACCACGACTGACTATAAAATAACATGGTTAAAAAGAATTAAATAAATAAATTATTAAAATTAATTAACATTAAAATATTAGTTAAATAAAAAGGTCTTGACCTGGTGCTAAAAAGCATATAATGACGGCGCCAGGCGGACCTGTCTAGGGAGCGCATTCCATAGCTGGGGCACCAACGTAGAGATGGCCCTCCTCCGAGTACTCTGTCTCCTGACCTCTTTCAAAGAGGGTTCCCGGAGGAGGGCCTCTGCTGCTGATCTCAGGGGGTGGGAGGGCATATAGGGAAAAAGGTGTTCCTTTAGGTATCCTGGTCCCAAGCCATTTAGGGCTTTATAGGTAATAACCAGCACCTTGAATTGAGCCCAGACTTCAATGGGAAGCCAATGGAGCTGATAGAGGACTGGAGTTATGTCAGAATATTGACCAGTCCCTGACAGCATCCTGGCAGCTCTGTTTTGCACCATCTGAAGTATCCAGACCGTCTTCAAGGGCAGCCCCACATAGAGTGTGTTACCGTAGTCCAAATGGGAGGTAACCAGTGCATGTGTCACTGTTGCCAGGCAGTTCTCCTCCAGGTAAGGACGCAGCTGATGGATCCACCGGAGCTGAAGGAAAGCGCTCCTCGCCACTGCTGTCACCTACGTTTCCAGGGATAGCTCCGGGTCAAGAAAGAGCCCTCCTAAGCTGCGGACCCTGTCCTTTAGAGGGAGTACAACCCCGTCCAGGGCAGGGCCCAACTCACTTACCTGAAAACTCAAATCACCTACCAACAGGACCTCCGTCTTATCTGGATTGAGCTTCAGTTTATTGGCCCTCATCCAGCCCATTACCTCAGCCAGGCACTGGTTCAGTACAGCCACTGCCTCACCTGAATTGGTTGAGAAAGAGAGGTAGAGCTGGGTGTCATCAGCATACTGATGACTCTGCAGCCCAAACCTCCGGATGACCTCTCCCAGTGGTTTCATGTAGATGTTAAATAGGAAGGGAGACAAAATAGGGCCCTGCGGTACGCCATGGCAGAGTTGCCATGGCGCAGAGGTAAAGTCCCCCAGCACCACCTTCTGGAATCGGCTGACAAGGTAAGAGTGGAACCATTGCCAAGCAGTGCCTCCTACTCTCAATCTGTGCCCCCCCCCGTGTGTAATTTAATTAGACTTGCATCCAAGATTGGGCAAAAACATTTTGCTTTTTGACAAATGGGATAATATGATGCCTCTCCCTGAGCCAAAGTCAACCAGTTGGGCAACTGAATTCAACATTGTCAGTTTTTCTTACACATGAGGACAGTATGCAAGTTTAGGGGGCTCAGATTAGGGGGCCCTGTGGCACACACAGATCTGTTCCCCAACACCTTGCAGCCCCTTCCCTCCACCCAGCATCTGCCACCCCAGGTGTCTTTCTCATTCTGCCCAAAAGTAGATCCAGCCTTGTTTAAGCTGTGAATCCCACAGGTCAAAAAAGTATCAATTGATACATTTTCAAACCTGTGAAATATATGCCTGGTGACAGTGGATTAGTTTTGTGTCTTCCAATGACTGAATTTCACACTTGAAATATACTTTTGCAGTCAAAAAGCTTCAACGCTAGAGATCAACTTTTGTGATCTTTCAGAAATGTTTGATGCAGAATTAGAATGTGCTTGTAAGTTGCCTTATGGTGCTTCCGGATGGACAGTGAAAAGCTGCCATGCAACTATTGGGCAAATTTGGACAGCAGAGATTGGAACAGCAGATTTTGGACACTGTGGCAACAGCCGCACAGTTTGGGTCAATTGCTTGGAACCCTCCACTGTGCCTAACAAATGAAAGGGCACAATGTGGATAGCAGGCCCTCTCCTCCCGCTTCAGCCCTCCCAAAAGTTATCTCTTGGGACAGCATGGGTTTCCCTCTCACCCTATCATGATTGTGCAGTTCTTTTATGTTTCCTTTTTGTCCCTTGAGATCACAAAAGCTGGTGGTCAGAGGAGTTTTTGTGATTCCAATTTTACCAGCCATGAGCCATGCCTCAGTGGTACCTTTGGGAAGCTGTCTGGCATAGCAAAAGATTTGTTTAGATTGATGTTGTTTTTTACAAATTAATTTTTCTAAATGTTGATTATTTTTTTAAAAATTGCTGCCTTTGCACCACTGTGAGCACAATTATGCATGGATGGCAATGGGGAACCTGAAGTGGCTACTGGGAAAAGAGATGCAGGGGAGTAGATGCCTTCCCTTTGGAAGCATTGGACAGCTGTCAAATTTGACTCATAAAACATTCCAAAAGCCAGGGGAGATTGCTGCTTGTGCAAAAGGAGTCTCAAACCCCACATTTGCAGTATGACACCTGGATTTTTGTTGGGAACAATCCCCTATATTTTGTAACTATTCCTAAGCAGTTTCCACTTTGAAAATATGCAAAGTTAAGGGAAATTCAGGGGGAATGGGTAAATACTCTCAATGAAGAAATGCCTCGTTGCTCAAATAATCCTGCAGTCCTGGCTGTGAAGGGTGTATTTTAATATCCTCTCATCTTACTGGAGACACAAAGTATGGAGGGGGGCAGCCACACAGGGAAAGTGCTCCAGTTGGTCCTGCTGGATAACTTCCATTGCCCCCACTGGTAAAAACTTCAGGATGAAGAGGTGGCAGGAGAGGTGCCACTGAAGGCAACTGACTGGAGCTATCTCAGTGATGAGAGCCCAGGACCCTTAATTTTAATTTTAATGTTTAAAACATGAAACAGACCCTTAATATTATGTAAGATCTAGCAGAAGTACATGGGGCCAGTTAAGGAAACTGGAGAGGCCCAGCTTCTAGTTCCTACTCAGCCACAAAGCTCCCTGTGTAACTTTGGACCAGTCACTGGCTGCCTAACCTATTCTACAGGGTTGTTGTAAAATGGAGAGTAGGAAGAATATTGTGCAAACCACCTTGGGTTTCTTGTAAGTGTGGGAGAAGGCAGGGTATAAATGTAACAACAACAACAGAATGGTTGGTATTGGTTCAGTCCTGTGCAAGTTTCTTCTGCAGGTAGCCACATTGAATTCAATCTGAATTACTGTTAATTAAGCAAGGATGGATTTTTCCCCTCATTTTTCAGGGCATATTACAATGCAATCCTACTCACAAGGCAGTTCTATCGAATTCAATGGGCATAGGATTGAGGCCTTATTGTATTCATTCTAGGTGAATTAAGAAAAAGAGATAAGCAGTGTGTATCCTTTGATTTTAGGGCAGGGCACTGTCCCTCACTTCAGTTATTTTTGTTCAAAATTTCTTAAAGTGGTTTAATTACCCCTTGTTAAACTTTCTCTGTGCTCTGCAATTAACAAACGGAATTATTTAAAAGCTGTAATTTTCTTCATGCTTTCAATGGACTGTGATTCCGCAAGGTAGTAATCATTGTATCGAAATAAGAAGTAACCGATAATCTGGATTAACTGTGTAGATTATCTATCGCTCCATCCGATGCATCTGCGCTACCCACACACATCCCATGGAGTGCTTCTCAGCCTTCTATTTCTGTAGGCGCTCGCCATTCTGATTGGCTGCTTTCATTACCCAACTTTGGCCAATCGGTTCTCACCAGGTTTTTTTAACCGTCTCCTGGGTGAGCGCTCGCTCTCTTGATTGGTCAGTGGAGGGACCAATCCCATTTCACCAGGTTTTGCACGGAAGCTTCACGCCCCCTTATACTCACTTCCCCTACAGCGACCAGTGGAGAAGCTTTCGTGTGATAATGGACGTTTCATCCGAGCCAGTCTCGGAGGAATTGAGTCTAAAGGAAGGGCGGAAGTAGCCGACGCCGTAAGGGCAAAAACAGAAGCAGGAGGAAATTGTGGAAGGAAGATGGCGGCGGCAGCGCACCAGCTGGCAGGGTTCTGCTGCGGCCCATTTCTGTTCCTCGCTGTGGTGTCAGTGCTGGGACACGGCGAGGCGCTGGGCACTTTAAACCTGCATGAGCTCAGCGAGCTGAAGTACGGGATTGAGATCGGTGCGGAGCCCGTAATGGCCGGACAGGTATGGCAGGTTGGGCCGAGTTAAGGAGATGGGGGCGGGAGCAAAGCGTAGTGTCATTCTGGAATACAGATGGGCAAGGTGATGCTCTTCAGCTGTTTTGGACTACAGCTCCCATAATCCCATACCCTTGACCGCGATGACTGGGGCTTATGGGGTTTGTGTAAAACATTTGGAGGGCATCTGGCTGGCTGCCCGTTTTTTTGTTTTGTTTTGCTTTTAAAGGCTAGCCTTTCGTGTTTGGGCAAAATATGATCAGGTTTACGACGTATTAAAGTCGAATGTGTTATGGTATAAACTCTTGTGTTTTGAACCATATTTTCTATATCTAATATGTACAAGCACGCCTAATTGGAAAGGAAACAACTACTGTAAACAGTTAAACTGAAGAGCCATGCGTTGCAAGAGAGGCCCATCTGTGACATTTCAAAGTAAAGAAACAGACATCTGTTTGACTGTATACAAAATAAATGCTGTCAATTTAGATTATGTGTGCATGTGTATGGAGATGGGAGATACTTTTAGCCTTAGTGAGGTGGTTCCATGTTGATGGTTATAAAAAAAAATCTTGTCACAGTTTGAAAATTGTTATATGTATTGTATGACTTTTGGTTTGATGTGGTTGAACTCATGGCTTGCATGCAGACGGTGTCAGGATCAATCCCTGACATTGCCATTGAAAAGGAATTCTCTAGCTGTTAATGGGGAAGATTCTGTGCCTGGAACCCTTAGAATTAGAAGGAATGATTAAGGAATTTCTTGCAGTTAGGAAGGGATCTTCCTGTGTTCTAAGATTTAATTATGTATAAATATCTAACCTCCTTCTGTTGTTCTCTTGTTATCTGTTTAAAATGGCAAACACCCTGGTTTCAGGACCAGATTATTTGCTTGCATAATTCTGTGCAGTGGAATGTATACTAGTGGTGCTGTAGAGTAAGAACAAGAATATTATAGTTGTGTTGTGCATAGGACGAGTATGATTGCAACATAAAAACAAAACAAAAACTCCTCATAGGGCATTTGGTTTCCAGTAGAGGCTATATTGATTTAGCAGAGATCCTTTTGATCTGATTTAACACAGGCACTACCACCAGAAAAGCTCCTGAAAATTCTAGTGGGATGTTATTTTCTTAATTATAGAGTGGTGTTAAATCCACCTGATGCCATATAGAAAAACTTGTTTTGTATTTTGTGGTAGTGATACCAGACTGATGCAGTTACTGGTCAGTTTTATGTAGATTATAAAAGGGGCTATCTGGTAACATGTTCCAGAAATGTTACTCAGCCATTTCCTTATAAGTAGTCTTGGAATAAAAATAGTAAATGTTTTGCTATACAGCCTACTAGGAATGGATGTATTTTATTTCCCATCAATCTAGGCATTTTGAAGCCTGGGGAGGGGGCTTTCTTCACTATGTCGGTGTGTTCCCCTTCCCATCCTTCTCGGGTGCTTGTACTTTCCATGCTAGCAGTCACATGATCAAACCCTGTGGGGTTTGAAAGAGAACATCCGTACTGTTGCTTCACTGTTTACTGTTGGGTTAGAAATAGCACTGTGTCAAAGTAACTGAAGGGATAAGGTTTAGAGTGCTTATGGCAGTATGTGCTTAGAGTGTTCAAGGGTGCAGCATGTACGTAGATATTTATTTATTTATTTGTTTGTTTATTTAAAACATTTTTATGCCACCCCCATTGCAACAAAGCCTCAGGGCGGCTCACAAGATATGGTAGCTGGACAATTAAACATCCTTGGAAGTTGAGCTTTCTCCTCTTTTTAAAGGAACAGAGGTAGCCTTGGCAGTGGTCCTGGTGATTTTCAGGAAAAGTTGTCTTTATTCTCTTCCTACAACCAAGAGAAACAGGAAATAGAGACACATATTTGTATAATCTGTTCAAGTTATGCAACAAGTTTTCTTAGAATAAAATGGAGTTCTTTATATTTATTTCTAAAGCAGATTACGCCCATATAAATGAATCAGTGACTCAGTTTGTCTCTTCACTAAAGGGAAGGGAATAACTCATAAGAGTTACTCATTCGGCCATTAAAACAACAACTGGTTAAACAATCAAGTAATGATCACATACACTTTGCTGTACTTAAAATGCTTTAACTGTCATGAAACAATGAAATTAATGTCTAAAGTTCTGTAATAGTTTATTGTGATTAACTGACAACTCATTTTAAGTATATTTGCATAATAATTGGCTTCAAGAGACTGAACAGTTGCTCTTCAGCTTTTATATTAGATAACCCAAAATTAGTTCGAACAGTATGCAAGTTTAGATAGAAAAAAGGCTTACAATGCTCAACATGGCTTCTAATTCTGCTACCTTTAAGGTGTTGTACTACAAGTTAAATCAGTAGAACCCTGTAGCCATAAAAAATAGGAATGTTAAAGAGAGTAACTACACTTTTTGAAAAGCTAAATTGAAAACTGAGCGTGTCCTCCTTTCCACTGCTTGCTGAGTCTGCTTAAAGTCCCAAGGCCTGCCTTAGCTTTTAGTCATTGCAGACACCTTCTTGGCTTTATTGCTTTTTTGCCCATGTCTATCTGAGCTCAAATTTGTAGCAGTGGCATCCAAGCCTTAACCTCCTTTTTGAGGTGTCACTCGAGCCCATTGGCTGCTGCTCAGCTTCCCATAGCACCTGCTGCCTTTTGCAGAAAAAGTGGCTTCTCTGTCCCAGTTCTTGGCAAGTTGCTATGTTTACTGCTCTAGCAAGAATTGCATCATCATACCTGTGGTTTGCACCATCTGTGCCCTGGGGAAATTGAAGCCCTGCAAAAGGTGGCTTGAGCCCATCTGCCATCCAGCTCTTTTGTGGTTTGAAATACATGTTCTTGAATTTGACAGAGCCACATGGCTCCTTTGCATTCTTGGATCCTTGCTATATTCTGAAGGGGAAGCACTCAGGTCTGGCCTTTTTCAGGACAGTCAGGTTACTCCTGTTACTGCTACTTCCCAGCTATATATAACTAGGGAATTTCAGGGGAAGGTCTGGAATGCTTATGAAACAGGATCCAGGCTTTTCTGTGGAGAAATATTTACAGGAGGGATGATGCCAGTAGGTTTCCTTTTAAATAAAGCTTGCTGCTTCTGTTGTGGAGTGCTTGACTATAACCTGGCTATGGCTGTCAGCTGCTGTAGTATCTTAGCTTCAGATTTATTTATAACTTTTAATCCAGTTTCTAAATTATATGATTCCATGCACCAAATCACTATTTATTTATTTATTTATTTATTTATTTATTTATAACTTTTATACACTGTCCACTACCACAGTCTCCACCACATTTGAGTAGTGGAGTTTAAAGCTTGCAATCAAACCATATGATTTTAATTTTCAAATATTTCTTTCTACCCACCACCTCCAGCCTTTATAGATACTGATTATGATAGCTTTTCTTTCCTCTACTGATTCTTCTTCTTTTTCCTTCAATGTTTGATTTACTACAGCCTATTTGATGCTGTGCCAGTAGTTTTGAATCTGCCTGTACATCATAATCAAGCTTGGACCCCTTTTAAAGATGGATCTTCTCAGGAGGAGGGGATAAAGACAGGAAGAAAAGGGGTACAAGATGGCAAATAGTCTAAATGGGATGGGGAGAAGGTGCAGGAACATTTTTGTTAATTGCTATTGGTATTGCATCTTCCCTCTAATCCTGATATACACAAAAAACGACTTCTGAAAGGTGGATGGAAGTTAACTGTTATGTTTACACAGGGTGTTATAAGTCAGTTATCTCACTTTTCTTGAAAAAGCATTGAATGAGCCATCCTCTGTCATACAGCCAGTTCCTGTGAAAGTCTAGATTTGGATTGCTCCTGTGCCAGGATCTGAACCTGTGTGTGTTGGCTCTGGTTGTTGTAGTGGTGTCACTTTGTTGTAGCAAATCACATCCCATTGCAATGAATCTGCAGGCACTGGACCCATGTGTGTAGGGCCAATCCCATTAGTCCTTTCTGCCTCATCCCTCTTGGCCAAGTGACAGTTGGGTTGGAAGCACCCATAGGATTAAAATCACCTACATGAATCTGGGGTTTAGTTGCTTACCACACAGATGTGCAATCTAACCTTAGGGAACTGACTTCCCTGTAAATACCTGTAAATGTGGTTCCTCATTTATACCGGAGCACTTAAATATTGCCAAAATAGGTAACAGGGGACCTGTCCACTAACCCATTAAAAAAAGCCCATGCTCACCCTGCACAAACAACTTTGATGTACTTTCATGCCAATGTCAAAGATTTGGTACTTATTTTAATGAAGGCTTGATCCTTGGAGGCCATTGTTATAAAACAGACCGTCATTTGGTATACTCTGAAAAAGACTAAAATCAGTTGTTACTCATCATTAAAACAGTCCACCATGTGCACAAGTGGGGTCTACAGAAGCAGGGATCTTCTGCAAAGATATATAAAGGCCATCTTTTCAGTTAAGTAACAGCTGCTTGGGACTAGTAGATAAGCACTTTGATGTTGATTTGACATCAACAAGATGGATACTCTTTTTTACTGTTCTGCTTTTCTATTGTGGTACTACTACAATATTGGGGTTCATGGCACTGATGTTTCATGTCATTATAAATGGTAAAAACCACTGAGGAAAATACTATATTTTATATAAAGGGTCATTTTTAATTCATACTATTATTGGTATGCACCTCTCCTGTTTGTTGGTGACATGACACAGAAGAATGTATGCATTGCAGAAATGCATATTTCCTTCTTGTAAAGCTTCCCAAGTAGCAGTAGCTATTCCATGAGTTAAGCAGCACTGTCAACTTATCCATCTGGTCCTCCTGGGGTGGTTGGAACTGCTGTGTTAGGGTTTCTCCCTTACGAGTGATGAGTCCTTGGGCACTGCACATGCTGTATAGACAATCAGAGTGCAGGAAGCCTTTTTAGGCAATTTGGGCGGTGGGCACAGTGTAAAACAGTGGCCTCTAAAGTGGCAGATTAAGGTGTCTTAATTCAGGCTTGTAAATAGCCATTTGCCTAGCTGTATCTCACCACAGCACATCTGACATATGCTTGCAGATAAGTTGCACTGAGGCCCAAGTAAATGTGCATTGTACTGCAGTCTAAGAGATCAGGCGGGGGAGGTCTGCAAATCTGTTTCTGTTCTCCTTTGGGAATGACATATGTGTGGACAGATCATGTTCACTGGGATACAAGGCTGATTTCAAAGCTGCTACAGATCAGAAGTGTGCGGAAGGCACGTTTTGCTCACTGGAAGGTCTCGTAGTGATTTTCAGTATATGACTAGGATTTTTGACTCCCACTTGTTTAGAAATATGGGATGGAGGGAGGCTTCACTACTCATCCTAGATGCTACTGTTGAAATGAAAGGAGCTTTGGGTAACCAGGAACAGATTTCTGTGTAAAACTGTTCAAGTTATGTCTACAAACTGTTTTCAATTTGGGGACTCAAAGCAAGTTCCTGGGCTCAGAATTCTAACTTTCTGCCTTTTGCAGCATCCTCCTCTTGATGGATCTTATGGCTCTTGTAAATGACAAAGGAGATCTGATAAGCCTGAAGTCTGTGGGCACCTTTAAAAAAGTCTGATGCCAGGTGCCACTGTATCAACAGACATACAGGTGCTTCCTCCTTTTAGAAGAAGGAAGTGACACTAACTTTCAGGCAAGTTCATCCCAGCATGTCTTCACCAGCTTCAGATTTACCAGTTGTTGCAAGCTTGAACCCCTGTAACAGGAACCAGTATGCATTGTAGCCATGATTTTCCAGTTGTGCATGAATACGCTGGGGTTTCTTGGAGGGTTGTGAGTGTCTCCTTGATTAAAAGATCCGTAAGCCTTAGCATGCTGTCCAGAAGATATTGTGTATGCCAACACCAATCTTCCTTTGCTGTTAGTGGCTGCAAGGGTCGTTGCACAAGTTGAGGTCACACTTGCAGGTTACATGTGGCGAAAACTGGACCCAGTCAGCCTTGACTGGCATCTCCGTGCAAGAGACAGAGCATACCAGAATGCTTTGTGATGCACAAAGATCCTGTGGCAGGTTGTGTGGGCTGTTGCAATTCTGGGCTTCCATTTTAATGTGGGTATGAAAATGCAAAGGCCATTCTGATGTGACAGGCCATAGTTTTCTGTAGTTTGGTTTCAGCTGAACTTTGAGAGTCCCCCTCATCCCAGCTTAGAGGATTCTGTCGGCTTGGGAGCGCAGAGGAAGCATGTGCTTACAGCTGAGTTCTCTCCACTTGAGAAGGAAGCAGCTCACTGCTTGCTTCCCTGCACAGCCAGGGCTAGCCTCTCTGGGATGCTGCCTCTGGCCCTGGGTCTCTGCAGGCCTGCCTGGCAATGGGTTGATACAGCAACATGGCACCAGAAATGTTTCACTAGAGAAAGATTGCAGTGGGTCCCTACAGCAGTCCAGAGATGCTGCGCGATGCTGTTGGGTTTGCTCACTCCCAGATCCAGCCAGCTGAGAACTTTGGCTTGCCCTCTGCTGCCACGGGTTCTCTTCCTGCTGGTTTTGGGGAAAAATGGCAGTCAAAGTAAGAATCTTTTCCTATCTTGCCACCCCACCCCCCTTTAAAACTCCAACTGTGTTTAACTATGGATAATTCACCATTGTGGCTCGCAACAAGCCACAGGTTCTTTTCCTGGATTGTTCATGGTTAACCTATAGTTCTAATATGGTGCTGGGTTTGTACCTAACACCAACCTATGTTTTGATGACAACCCATTGTTGTTGCCTGTGAACCAGGTTATTGTTTAATTCTATCAGATTTAGCCAGGCAAGCAGGAGCTCTGCTTTTAGAAAGAATTAGTTCATCAATTGCATTGTCCTTTGTGGGTGATGCTCAGTTTTCTGAAGGACACAGTGGATGAATGGGAGGGGGTTGGCTTTTTTCCAAGTTGTCAGTCTGGAAAAAAAATGCTGTTGTCTGTAAACAGGCTGAACATCAGCTTCCGCAGCCCAGCCTGCTCTTTGTAAGTCTGTGAACGTTCCTGAGTTGGAGCTGAGCTGAGGGTGACCTTTCCTTGATGCTGAACTTCTGTGCTTGTAGTGTAATCATTGCTGATCATGTGTTTACCATTGAAGGACACGGTTATGGGAGATAGCAGAAATGTGTATTCGCACACAAAAAGCTATGTGACTATGTACTATTGAAAGCCTATCTCTGCACAAGTTTCCTGTAGGTCTTTCAGTCCATCTCACCCCCACATCTCTAAAAGTGTACCATTCTCTTCAGTGTCACAGCTGTACATACTTGTGTTGTACACAAAAACAAGTCTTGCAAGGAAGCAAGTGCAGAATTCATTGACTATGGTATAGAACATGGCATGACAATCCATCCAGGCAATGGGCAATAGGCCAGGATGGGTGGGTTGTTTTGCAAAGTATCCAGAATGACCCTGACAAGGGATTTCAAGTCAGCACAACCCTCCCCAAGTTGACACCTTCTGAGTATGTTGCATTACAGTTCCTATCATCCCCAGCCCTTGTTTGGCATATCTAGAGTGTGACAGCTTGCAGAAGGCTAGCCTAACACAACTGCTCCCTAAAATGGGGAGAGGGCTATGCATTAGGCTGGAGGCTGGATATGCTGTGTCGTTCTTTGGCCTTCTCTGTAACATGCAACATCTATATATGCCAATTGCTTAATAGGCAAAATCCATATAGCAGCAGGATTTGAATTATGCTGGCATATAGGTTTTTAATGCAGTGTATTTGCAGTTACGGTGGTGAAGCTGGTTATAACCACTTTCCCTAACCCGATGCCCTTTGGGCTACAATTCAAGGATACCTGACCGTTAGAAATGCTGACTAGGGACTGATGGGCATTGAAGTCCAAACCATCTGGAGACCATTCAGTTGGGGAAAGCTGGTTTATGGCTTCAGGTATAGGCAGGCTTGTTGCATTTGTTGCTAAACCTGCGAAAAGCAATTTGGAGCTAGAAACACAGAATTTCAAATAGCACGCCTTTCTCTTGGTAGTCTAAATGTAACAGGCTGCAAAGCTGACCTTCGTGGCCAGTCCAAATGTGAGTTCATCACTGGTGCTCCTCGAAAAGGTAAGGACTAGAGCAGGGCTGGGCCACATAGTGTGCTGGGCTGGTGCCGTGTGCACACACACAAAAGTCCGTGCGTGTGTTCACGAAGCATACACGCTCATGTGCATAAACAGAGAGCAGGTTCATGTGGTAAATGCACAATATATACATTTTTAAAAATTACAGCTTTGGTATTGACCTGTTCTCTCTCCCCCATCTCCCCCAGTTTCACTGTTGTGTCCCTTGGCCAGCCCTTGTAGCTAACTACCCTCTTTCACTCCACTCCCTTGCATTTGCCTTCTCAGAGCAAGTCATCAGAGGTGGTGACCATCTCCTCCAAATACAAGCAAAAGTATGAATGCCGGCTACCAGCTGCCGCAGTGAAGATTCACCAAGAAAAAGAGGAGGATCCGCAGAGCTACACTGGACTAGGGATCTCTGAACTGCTGAAGCCAATGGAAGTGGCTCCTTGTCTTATCAAGGTGATTTTCTATTAGAGGTTGGAAGAGTGCAACATTAGGAGATGAGATGTGACCCAGATAAATGCTGGATGCCACCCCTGGGATTCTCAGTGAATGGGTCTTCCTTCTCACATCTGCCTGCGAAATAGTTTTGCTTCTAGGATTCATAGTGGCACCTAAAATGAGTCCGGATTACTGAATGTTCCCTTTCTTTAGCACTTGAACTAGGCAGAGTGCTTTTTACAGTATTCATTTCATTAATCAATGGTAGATCACTGGTGTTCTCATTTTACAGGGGTGTGAACTGAGGCACTGACTTGCCTAAGATGACCTAGAGAGGCAGGAGCCTGAAATTGGATTTGTGCCTAAACTGCACTGACTTCACCAGGGCATTTTCCAGACTGTAGCCCCCATTCTCCCTCTCTCCCTGCTGCCAGCTTTTCTTGTAAGAAGTACAGTTGCCAGCTGGCTGGACCTTCTTCAGCTGACTGATCATTTGGATTTTAAAATGTAGACTTCTACAGCTTTGTTTGTACTGCCCCTTTGAGAATACTGAGTAATGTTTGAATTCTTGTAATTCAGTAAGCAAAAGCTGCTACTCATTATTGGACAGCAAGGATGTCTTTAATTTTTTAAATTATGCAATTTACTAAATGCAGAGGCATTGCTGTAACCTACCCAAAGACTTTTTGCTACTGGCTGGCATCTAAATATCAGACATATTTAATAAACAAATGGATGCTTGGTCATGCCTGTTAACAACTGCCCTTGCCAATTATTCACCTATTTTTTAATATACCAGTTGAATCATGCAATCCTACTAAAAACCCACTGCTGTAATTCTTTTTAGTCTGTCCTTTCCCATCTCAAGCCTTGAGGGTTCCCCCCCCATCCTCAGGTTCATGTGGTAAATGCACAATATATACCAAGCACAAGCAACATGGCCCTGCAGGTGTGGACAGCCTGCAAGTTCCTTCTGCCTAACCCCTTTAGCCAGCTGGGAGAGGCCGTGGGATTTGTCAGGCTCAAAGTGCTGGAGAGCCACAAGTTCTCCACCCCTGAGTTATATGAGCCACTTCCGTAACTCAGACTTCATCTCATCCCCACACTTGCCTAGTTGTTCTACCTGTTGCATGATTTCTGTTGATAGAAGCAGAGTGGTGAATCTTCAGGAGAACACAAATGCAGGCGGGGACTTAACAAGATTGTGCTCCAAGCAGAGTATGGGCTTTAACTTCTCCCTTTTCTCTCAGACTAAGGACTGGTGGACGTATGAGTTCTGCTACGGGAAGCACATCCAGCAATACCACATGGAAGGTACCATCTTCCCTTCTGCTGCTCATTCCCCTGCCTGTCTGCCTGGTGTAGCTTGAGGGGGCAGCCCTCCACCCATACCAGGTTTCTCTTGCTTTAAGCTGGCAGATGCTGTTGCCTTTTTCACATGCTCATGTCATAGCAGTCCCGAGGCACACTCTCCAGTGATTCAGTGAGTGCTCCTTGAGCACCATTGCGTGGACAGCAGGAAACTCTGGTCTGGCGCATGGTTTCTCAACTGTGACATGTCTACTTGGAGGAGAGAAGAGCAAGGCCTGTGTAACCCTTTCACTGTTTTCCTCAGCATCACCATCCTGCTTTTCTCTCACATGTATCTTTCAATTAAAGCAAAGTAACTGAGGGAAGAGGTTGGAAGGGAAGCATGTATCACCCTTTTAAGATGCTGCTTGGAGACTCTGTTCTGCTCCCCCTTGCCATCCCCACTGCAGCTGGGAGATTAGCTGGGATGCGGTCTTTCCTACAGTGGCAATGTATCTCTGAAATTGCCTGTGGGGAGAGGGTGTTTTGCTCCTTCACTGCCCATCCAGCAATGGGCAAAGCTGATATTTCAGAGAACATTTGAAGCCCCCTGAATGTGGAAGCGATTTCTTTCTTTTAGTAGTTGAGCTAAGCTCTTCTGTCCTTTGTCAGATTTAGCTTTCCTGGTTATTTGCTGCTATTTCATCTTCTTTAAAAATCCTCTTTAAGTTCCTGTTTTTATCATTGTGTGTTTAAAGGACCTTTGGCACTCTTTTAATTCTGTGTAGAGTCGACCCACTGAAATGTACAGAACTTAAGTTAACCATGACTAAGTCAAGTCTCCTTTGTTTCAGTGGGTGTGCTGTATGTGGAGCTAACACTGGAAGCTACCTCAGAGGCACAGTCCTATGCCCTTAGGCTGACTGGGGCAAACTGGGAATTGTGGGACCCTTTTCTATCTGAACATGCATAGGATTGCACCCAGGTATTTTAATAGGTAAACTAGAGATGCAGGGGTGGTGCCTGCCTGCAATTTCTGCAGATTGTAAGGTGCAAAGCAGTTTGCCACCCTTGTAAAAGAGCAGTCAGCATTCCTGGTTCCACCCTTAGTCTTAACATACATTGCACTTCCCAACCTGGAGTCCTTTAGATGTATTAGACTACAAGTCTCATAATCCACAAGCAGCATGTTCTAATAGGAGCTGTATTCCAACACTTTTGGAGGGCAAGCTGGCAGACTGGGGAAAGCTGGTGTACATCATTTTAGATGTCTGTACAGACAGCCTTGTAAAGCGGGCTTGGAGAACATGTGGCCCCTCTGGGTGTTGCTGAACTGCAACTCCCATCAGCCCCTGCCAGCAGAGCCAGTGGTGAGGGATCATGGGAGTAGTAGTCCACCATCATTTGTCATATATTCTCCATCTCTGTTGTAAAGGGAGGTTGATACTATCCCTATATTGTTGTTGCTTCAGGATGGGGGTGAGGCTTCTCCTGTTTGTAGATCAGTAGCTTTCAAACTGATGCCTTAAGCCTGGGGTTCTGGAGCTGAGGCTTATGGTTCCCATATGGCCTTCTGGAATGCCCTAGAAGGCCATAGCCCCTTCCCCTGGTCCCCCTGCTTCCTCCACCCACCCATTGTTTTGTGGTTTCCTGACTTTTCTGCATTTTCCCCTCTCTGCAAGGTAGAGGTGCCTCCTCTAAGGATTATTTACTGTCAGTTACTGCTTTAAGTTAAACTATGCTGGTATTTGTGGGATTCACACTGCCCTGTTTTGCCTTTGGCTGCAGGGTTGCAGTCTTCTCTGAAATGAAAGTGTGCTGGAAGAATTCCTGTGTCCCTGAGTTAAGCCGCTCCTGATAGGAAAACAAGAAGGGCTAGATGGCTTATTTTTAATGGACCAGAGGATGTACCTGTATTCCCAGATTCCTGGAGTGACTGTGGTGGGTGGACGGGCCAGGGCAGAGCGGGTTAGCTGGTACAGTCTCCTTTTTGCATCAATATGGAGATCTGAAACTTTTCATTGGGTCCTCCCCCTGCATCTGTTTCTTAAACAGGGTTTGTCCTTAAGTTACACTCACAGTCCCCATACATACCTCACCCCTTCATCCTGCCCCAAAACACAGGCACCCATTTCCAGTTGGACCATAGTTTAAGATTTCAGTGGTTCCCAAACTTCCTCAGGGAGCTACTGGTGGTCACAAAAGAGTGATTCACCCTCCATATCCTTTGAAAGATTTGCTTCTGATGTGTGACTGAATCAAACTTTTAATAGCTTCATCCAGCCTGCCCAGCATGGTAGTCAGTGCAGCCAGACTGGTAGCCTGAATGTTGACTTGGTGGTGCAGCTCAGGCAGCTTTGGGTTGGTGCCAGGCTGCCTTGATTTCTTCTTTTCTTCTCCACTTGCTTACTGACATGTACATCTTCTGATTTGTTGTTCTCCAGAGTCTGAAATCAAAGGTGATATCCTGTACCTTGGCTATTATCAGTCTGCGTTTGACTGGGACAATGAAACAGCCAAGGTAGGTCTTTCTCAGCCACTGAGCTCCCCATGGAAAAGGATTTCATGAAGTGAAAAAGAACCTGAGTTGCACTGCTTTCTCTTTATATAAAGAACTACTTTAGGTAGATTTCCTTCCCTCCCTAACTGCAACTCATGAGTTATTCTGAGAAGTTTCACTTCTTTCTCTTTCTTCCTCTTTCCTTTCTCTCCCTGCCATAGTCTAATATCCAAAGATCAAGCACCTTTGTACAAAGACTGAATTACCACAAAATTAGAGAAGTGCAAAATCACAGCTAGACTTCATTTAAAAATATTCCAGCATTCCATTCAAAATATCATTTTCATTTTGTCTCCTAACTGAGAAGTTTTTATGATACTTATTGTGGTTAGATATTTAAAATTGTACTTTTATTTTAGATGGCTAGTTAATGGCTATCGTTTATCTGACAGAGAATTGTACTGTTTCCAAATTGCAAGGCACTTTGGGAAGGCTATAAATACCTTGGGGTATTTATATTGCTGTATTTATTGTAAGCCGTACAGAGACTCAGAGGGATGGATGGGTTAAAAATATCCCAAATTAAAAAAATAAATAAAATCTTGAAAAGCAGTTGAGAGTATATATGAAATTAGATCAGTAAATAAAACCTATGATAGATATTTCATTCCTAGTTTGGAATCTCATGGGGGATGACAGATCCTTGCTGTTTTCCTCCTTTTTTGCTGTGCTGAACTGTTGGCTAAGACTTTTTTTAGATTCTGAGTGGTTTCTACCCCATGGATGGGAAAGGTCTTGGGCCTGAGGGTTTCTTCTGGAACTGCTTTGAATGTGTGGCTAAAAAAAAAGTAGGGGTGGTAGTCAGAGCTTGATTTGCCACCCTATGAATTAATTTGGTCTGTTTTTTTTAAAGCTGCTTGCATAACCCAGAGTTACTCCTGGGTTCTTTGTTTTCTCCTCCCTCCCCCCGCCACCTGCACTGCCCCTTACTGGCAGTGTGATTGGTTCAGTTGTTCTTAAATCATTCCAAGATGGTGGTAGCACCAGCAGCATCTGACTCCATGGTTTTTTTTTGGAGATAAAACTGTAGCTCTCCTTGTGAAAATTCTGCTTTGGATCTGGGCCCAGCCCAGAGCAAATGTACCTTCAGCTATTGCCTGAGAGGGGACCTTGCAACAGGTCAGAGTCAAATGAGATAAAAGCTGTAAAATGTAAGAAGTTCCTTCTTGAGAGTTTTCTCTTTTCCTCCCCTCATTGCAGGCTTCAAAGCAGCACAAGCTGAAGCGTTACCACAGCCAGACTTATGTTAATGGATCCAAGTGTAACCTGAATGGGAAGCCCAGGGAGGCTGAAGTCAGGGTAAGGAAGGGGAGTTCATCATGCCAGGAGAGAGCAGTTGAAAGGAAAGGCGAGCCTAGTACTCTCTCTGCAAAGTGCCCCCTTTGCATGATGGTGCAAAGCTGCCAATGTCTGCAGAGCAGTGGCTGGCAATGTGTAGCCTTCCATCTGTTGTGGCCTACAGTTCCCACAATCCCTTACCATTGGCTGTGCTGCCTAGGGCTGATGGGACTTGCAGGCCAAAATATTGCTAACTCCTGTTGTAGGGGCTGATATGGGAGGGAATGGGTTGGTGATAGCAAATCAGGGAAGGGAGTAGGGTGAGAATAAACTGAGCTGTAGGGTATGGCCCATTGCCTTCTGTATTTCACACAGATTAAAAAAACTCAGAAGGGAAGGGAGTCACGTGTTCAAGCATTCTGGCTTCTCACATTATTTTTCACTCCTGCGCTGGCCTGGTCATGGCTGCCCTTCCACCTGGAGCCTCTTTCATTTGTACCTGGGAGGTGGTAGGAGACAGAGAGGAATGGATGGGTGCCTGACCCTTGTGGTTGCCCTGCCACTGCTGGCTTTGCTGGGACAGGACCTTTGGCCACCATCAATCTCCCCTTCACCACAGCAAAACCAGCTGGCATTCCATGCACGCGCCTTTCAAAATGACTCTCCCCACCCCACCCCCAACTGTGCAAAAAGCTGTGTTGGGGCAGGGGCTGTAGCTCAGGGTTTGGGCAGCTAAGGTTTACCTTCAGAACGAGACCAGGCAGAAACTGGGCCTCTCTATTTTAAAGGCACTCTGGGGACGGTCACTATTTGAAGCCCTGGAGAGCTGCTGGTTGCCAGAATAGAGCAAACCAGCCATCTCCCAGATGGATTCCCCCCCCTCCCCCCCGCAACAATTTGGGTCCACAACTCCCAGAATTCCTGATGACTGGTCCTGCTGGTAGGGGTTGATGGGAGCTGAAATCCATAACCTTCTGGAGAATGTTATGCTGGGGGAAGCTGGCATTGGCTGCAGTGGGCCAACTGGGGCTGTGGCTATGAACTACCCATAAATCTCCTCATATCTTAATTCCAGTTTCTGTGTGAGGAAGGTTCAGGTGACTACATTGCCCGCGTCGATGAGCCCCAGTCCTGCTCCTATGTGCTGACTGTCCACACCACCCGCATCTGCCACCACCCCTTTTTGCGCCCACCCTCCACTGCCACCCCTCAGACCATCCGCTGCCACCCGGCCCTGAGCCCTGCTGAGTATGTGGCATATGTCAAGGCCCAAGTCTGTAAGTATGTCTCACTGGGGGGAGGGCGGGGGACACTTCAGTGCTCTCTTTGCCAGGGTCAAGCTTTGGATGTGTGGATTTCTCACTGGGGTTGCCTCACAGGTGGTGATAGCGCATTCCTGTGGGGCAGTACAGCCAAGGCCTCCTGCCTGAAGAAAGGAGATGGTGGTTAAGGATGCCCACTGTTTGTCTCCATTTTCTTAGTTATCACTGCTGTTATTGATTATATTTCTATACAACCCAACTGAGAGAACAACGTGGCAAGCCAGTGTGTTCTAGTGAGCAGCAAGCTGGATTCAGGTTGAAATTTCCACTTAGCCATGAGGATCACTGAGATGCATGGACAGCTGGCGTGGTGTGGCAGTTAGAAATTTGGACTGGGGACCCAGGAGATCTGGGTTCTAGTCCCCACATGGCCATGGAGCTCATTGGATGACTGTGGGCAAGACACAAACTCTCAGCACAGCCTACCTTGCAGGTTGTTGTGAGGATAAAACGGAGCTTCATAAGCTGCCTTGGGTTCTGCAGAAGAGGAAGAAACTTGGGATACAAGCATCATGTAATTAACAAATAATAATCTGGGAGACTAGCCGAAACTACGTCATGTGGTTGCGTTGTGGATGGGGGTGGATAAAGAAGACTACTGCTGTCTATGCTGCTCTGGGGATCTTGGAGGAAGGGTTGGATACAATAGAAACTTGCATCGTTCTACAGAGTATAGACTTGTGAGCAAGTGGCCCTTGGGCAGGAACACTTTGCTGGACTGTCCTAAGACACATACAGTATAGCAGCAAACAAGTGCTCCTTTTTTCCCTGTGCCAGTTGGGCCACACTACATAACACAACTGGATGTTCTTAAGAGCAGCTCAAGGAAGAAGATAGCCTGATTATTTATTTATTTATATTGCGATTTATATCCTGCCATTTTCCTACAAAGGGCTCAAGGCAGCTTACATCATCTCTCCTCTTCCATCTTATCCCCACAACAACAACCCTGTGAGGTAGGTTGGGCTGAGAGTCTGTGACTGCCCCAAAGTCACCCAGTTGGCTCCATGGCCGAGCGGGGACTCGAACCCAGATCGCCTGAGTCCCAGTCCCACGCTCTTAACCACTACACCACACTGGCTCACTGCAGCCACCGCTCCTCTGGCCAGTACTGGTGCGAGCGTGGCAAGTCCGGGAAGAGGCAGCAAACAGGAATTTACTGGCTAAGCTCATGCTTTGCCTGTACTCGTTTGCATGAGTTCTATACCATTCTATATCTGACAAATTCCTGAGCAGTGAATAATTAAAGAAGATAAACAAGAATCAAAATACAAAATTTAAGTACTGAGAATATGAAGATGTTGACAAAACCCTGGCTGGTCAGTAAGGAAGGCTTGTTCAAATAAAAGTGTCTTTAGACACCTCTGAAAGAGAAATAGCACCAGGGTCTGCACAGCATTCAAACAGGCAGGGGATGCTGCGAGGAGGAAGCCCATACACTGAAGATTTGTGCGCCTTTAAAGAGCACTTCGGGAGAAAGCATGACACAAATGGTACCTTGTTTTATTCAGAAATTGAATTATAAGAGACCCTCTCTGCTGCCACTTCCTGTTTGATGGCAGACATAATGCATCCTTTATGGGACTGCAGCTCACTTGCTGCTGCACTTGGTAGCCTGCCAGGCCAATGGGGAGGGCCAAGTGATCTTGCCTTCCCTTCCTGAGACCTGCTAGAGACAGAGTTCCTTTACATTGCATCCTGCACACTGACAGCACAGCAAAACTGGAAGGTTCGTTGGCCAAGGAGAGGTGCCAGGGAAAATTCTGTAGGTGGCTCTTCTTGAAGGCAAACCATCAGTCCCTTCATTGTGACCTGCACCTGCTGGTCCATTCCCCATCCCATTATCAAACTTTTCACTCCAAAGCTTTCCCACCCACCCAAAAAACAGGCAAACAAAAAAACCACCACCAGAATAAAGTGCACAAATACTTTTGCTTGGCTAATGTGAAAATGGGCAGAAGCTAGCTCGCCAGGTATTTGGAACTTCAATTCGCAGAAGACCCTGTCAGCATAGCCCCTTGTTAAGAATGCTGGTAGCTGAAGTCTAAGAAATCTGGAGGTCTACTTTCTGCTCACCCTGAGCTAGTCATGTGATCAGATCTAAGGCTTTCTGACTTCAGAAGGGTGGGTATCTTGGGGCAAAATCTCAGACCGCTTTGCCTTTATGCATACAGCCCTATTTCTAATGCAAGTCTTGCTCATCAGAAGAGCCGTGCAGCATCGGCAGAACAGAATTGCTGGTTTTTCAGCACAGATTGCTGAGGGATCTGTTTATCGGGATCTTGAGAAAACCTTTTTGCACCTGACGTGTGGGGCAGGGTCTGTTTATCAATCAGACTTAAATTAGTATTTTTGCATGTATTTTCTGTAGCTGACACCAAGCGCAAAGTGGAGGAGATTTCCGAGGAGCTGAAGACTCTAGATACACGGCTGTGGAACGAGCAAGACCCCAAGATTCAGGAGTCCGAGGGCAATGGTAAGTTGGCATTACCCTTCCCTAAGCTGGTGTCTTCCAGGAGTGCTGGACTGCAACTTCCATTAGCCTGAGGTGTTGTGAGCACGTCTGTCCCCCTTCATTTCTTGTAGCAGCAGATGAAAACTTTGGAAGCACAATCCTGTATTGGAGCACAATGCCAGCTAACACAGCCTGCAGTCAGGGATGATGGGAGTTGTAGTACAAAGCAACTGGCATCAGGCTGAGCGAGGCTAAAATAGTCTCACAAAGCTGTTACCAAAATCCAGCTTGGCTGATCAGGGTGCAGTATTCACCAGGAAACTGAAGCAGATTTCAGTGACCATTTGCCTGACATGTTGACCCAGTTGACAGGACAGGACTGGTTATCTTGGGTTACTCAGCACATGATTTACCACAGAACATGCAGGGTGGGTGTGGCTGCCATGTTGAATATGCAACTTGTGCTTGGATATCAAAGCTTGGCTATTGTGGGTAAATTGAGGGTTAAGCAGTCCACATTTAATCTTAAGTTATTTGTATCACATGAGGATTGTTTCATCCTTGATGAATCCTGGGAGCAGCATCCTCATAATATACTGCAGACCTGAGTGAAGGTCACATACTTAAACTAGGGAGTTTAGCTGAAGCTAATCAAGGGTTGTTTGCTATATGATAAGTCACTGTGTCTCCTTACTTACTCTTTATAGTGATAGGTGGCAGGCTGGAACCATTTTAGTTGTCTGTATAATGAATATTGAGAGATTCTATTTTTTAAAGAAATGCTTTAGAGTTTTGATTGATATGCTATGTTTTGTATTGTGAGTTAGCAATTCATCATTTTGATGTTAGAAGCTGTCCTGAAAACATGCTTGCATTTAAAGGTGAAATATCCTGGTTAAGTCAGCCTCTTCCAGTCATACCCCAGGTGTGCTGGATTCCAGCTTCCATCATTCCCATGCTGGCTTCCCATGCAGAGTTGTAGTTTACTACATCTGGAGAGTGCCATATTGGAGCAGGTGATGTGAAATTACTCTTGGGAGTGTCCTTGAAGATGAGAGAGTACATGCCTTTGGCAGAGTAAGAAAAGCTACCCTTAAACGAAGGTTATCTTCTATAAATGGTTGCTGCTGTTGTTTTAACCACCTTAGCTACATAAGATCTACTATCTGTCTAGGCTAAGTTTTCATTTAAAACACATGCAGCAATCAGTAAACAGCGGGTCTATTTGTATTTGAAGTCTTTCTGCAGATGGACCTGCAACCAGTAGCCATGGCCACCAAGTTGCATAGCATGCAACAGGCTGCATTTGCTCGGCCTCAGAGCTGACGGGTAGCTACTGAGGACTGCAAAGCCATGTGGGTCTGTGGCAGATGGAATCCTATTACTTGTGCTGAAGATATATAAGCAAGCAGCCACTGAAACAAGTTGTGGTTCAAGACAGCCACTTAGGCTGCAACCCTCAGTTCTGCTGTCATCTCCTGTGAGGCCATAGGAGTTTTGGGTCCTGCAGTCTCAGTGCTGGGATCCTGATGGATCAGCTCCTGCCCCATTCCGTTGTAGCTAGAGCAGAAAGAACTGCGCCCATTGCCTCTCGAAGAGCACCAAAGTGCCTTGGAAGGAGGGCAGAAGGGGCTCTCGGTGTATGGCGAAAGCAGCCGTCCAGATAAATGCATGGGGCAAGGCACCGTGGTGGAGACGCTGCCACCACACCTTGCTCTCATCACTGGATGCACATAAGCCTCTGAGTTTGAGGCTGCTGGATTGGACCCTGAATTATTCTTATTGGTTGGATACCTCTCAGTTGTTTTGGAAGTTGCATTGGTGCTGGAAACTATTTGCAGTCAGGTTTCTGGGAGCCCTCTCAAGGGAAGGACATCTTGGGGAATGCCTGCCTGTCTTTTGCAATGCATCCTTATTTGCAGCATGTTGTACCCTCTAATAATACTGGGTACTCTTTCAGCTGTAGTGATGGTGATGGGATATATGGGTCATGTTCAGATGAACTAGAAGTTCAAATTCCCCACCCAGTTGATGGCCAGAACATTTTCCTCTATAGAAGGAAGGAAGGTCCTTAACTTGGATGCATTGAATTCCATCCTCTAGTATTTGGTTTAGATACTTTGATTCTAATTATTGAAGAATGGGATAGTGATTAAGTAGCTGATATTAAGGGCACCTGACTGCTGGCGCTCAAGATACCTCTGCTTTGTGGTATGCGCAATGCTTGTGGCCCCTAAAGGTCCCTGATACAGGGCCTGATTAAGTCTGTGAACCTTATATTTAACACAGCTGGCTGAGCAGAAGTGAAACATGAAATTACAAATTGAGGAACTATGTGTTTGAGGTTATATTCACTCTTCAAGATGTATCGAACTCTGGGTCAATGAATTGCATTCTGGGAATTGTAGAAATCATGCACATTTGCCTACAATGGCTTAATTAGTGCTATTTATTCTTATTCTTGCTATTTGGGGAAGAGAGTGGGACAAGGCACTTCTGATCTCTGGAAGGCTTTGCTCAGCCCCTGTCTTCCTGGGGACTACTGACGGTTCCTCTGAATTCAAGCTGTCAGAATGGAACCTGCTTTGCCAGCTTAGTGGATGGAAATGTGCAACTAAGGGCTAAGATTGTTGACACATGGAAACCTGACCAGAAGATTCTGCTTTTGATGGTGCAGAGTAATTTTAGGCCTGAGGGTATTGTCAAGATGCAGTTGGTAAACTGAACTGTTTCCCTCCACTTACACTCTTTGCATTATATGTTTGGTTAGAGACTCCCACTCCTCCAGCTGAGGCAAAACCTGGTGAGGAGATGGATTTCTGGGAGGGAATGGTCCATGGAGATGGGAATGCAGCCCAGATGCCAGACCAAACAAAGGTAACCTGCTGTTGTCATCCCTGAACTTAACTGTCGGCTGCCCTTATTGAAGATGCATGCTTATCCCAAAAGAGGACAATTCTTCCTTTTTCAGCAATTCTCACATGGATAATAATTAATAGACTGGAAAGAGGAAGGTGTAGGTTCACTTTTCTAAAATCTTAAACTGTGACTTAAAATAAGTGGAGGCTGATTACTATTTCCATTTAAAATTGTTTAAAACTGTTGTTGCTTTTAAGGTATTTGGAGGTGGGGTTGTTATGTTTTAGCACTGGTTGTAACAAAAACAATGCACCTGTCAGGTCCTTCTCTACTTTTACACTTGAGGCAAGATGATAACTTAAATCATGGATGCACATACCCTTTGGGATCTGATTTGAGTTATGATCAGTGGATTTTTTCCCAGGTTTATATACAGCCCTCTGAGACCTTTTTAAAAACAATTATTTTTTTAAACACAGCAATGATACCATAAAATACAAATAACAATGCAGTCCAGCTAAAAAGGTGTTTTTACAAGGTCAGTGCACACAAAGCTAACCCTAGGAGCACTTCCAGACAAAACAGCACTTTCCAATCTCCGTTAAAAGTGCAAGGTGAAGGGGCTTGCTGGTTTTCCCTGGGCTGCAAAGAGTCCCACAGTCCTAGTGGTGTTACAGAACACTTCCCGTCTCTCTCCTGCTCACTGCACAGGTTTGATTTAAGAGAGCAAAAACAGAGATGTTGATCTTAACAGCTGGGTAGGTTGACAAGGGCAAGAGTACTCCTTTAGGAATGGGTCCCAGGCTGTTTCAGAAGGGCAGCCTCATGCAGAGAGCATCACAGTGATGCAATGAAGTGGGAATGCCTAGCCTAATAACGGCAACTGTGCCAAGTGATGGTGGGCCACTCTTGGTCTGTTGCCACAGCCTAGCAATGCACATCTTCACCGCAAGCAAAGCCTTTCCCCCAGAACTTGAACAGCTCACTTCCTCAGTATTTGTATAATTCAGCAGTGGCCAACGTGTGGACTGCGTGAAGCCCTCCCATAATAATTTTTGCAGGGGGTACTGCTCCTCCCCAAATGGTGGACACTGAATTTGCCACAGCTCTCCCCTGCCCCCCCCCCCCCCCATAGCAGTTTTGTTTGAAGGCAAAGATCGTGGGGAATGTATGCCTTGCTTGGAAGTGATTCCATTGTGTTCAAACAAAATCACTGGAGCAAATTCATCAGCAGCAATTTCGGCAGTGATGAAGGGAGACAAATCCAGGGAGGCTCCACAGGAGACAGTGCAGTTCCGACTACTGAAGTAGCAAACCCTGGTATGTTTTCATGGCTGCACAAAATTCCTCTCCCCTGATAATGAAGTGTGCCACCTCTAGTGCACAAGGACAAAGTAGAAAAGAGCAGGCTTCGATTGAGCTGGTTATGTGGCGTAAAGTTACATCTGGGTTAATGGATTTTGCATAAAGCTACATTATTTGTTGCAAGCCTTGGGAGTAGGACAGGTTAAAAATTGAAAATGGATATGCGTTGATGTTCAGTCCAAAGGGAATTAAATAAATAGATTAATAAATTAACTGCAACTCTGTGCAAGTACAGAGCACCAGCCTCAGTGTGTAATGAAAGATATAAGTTCTGTATCTCCTGAATAGATAGCTCTGATAGGTACTGAATTATGCCTGTGCTTGCATGCACATTCTATGTCTAGCAGGCACAAACACTGTATAAAATGCGGCTAATGGATTCTTTTAGTAAAATGAGTGACAGAATCCAAGGACTTATTTCCCTCTGAATGACTTCTCCTTGCTGGCTCCTCACTTAGACCATTCCCTGTCTGTTCTTTTTCTGCAGGAGGAAGACTCAATCATGAAAACAGCGGACAGTCACCTAGCAGGTAGCTCAGAGGTTCTGTGGGGTTTGACCTAGACAACTCCATTTGAAAAGGTGCTATGGGAAAAGTTTGCATGAGCCAAAAGGGGTTGGTTTGGAATGCTCCCTCCCCTGCAATTTGGTTCATAGTCAAGTGTGTTAAATAGCCTCTGGTTAGCTGCACGCTGTGTTTCTGTGTGTCCCGAAACATGATGCCATATACATTGATCCAACTGAACTACTAGTAAGGGGCATTGACCAAGAAGTATTTCTTTCTTTAATTTTATTGTTTATTTAGCGGACTTATATGCCGCCCCATTCACCTAAGCCTCGGGGTGGCTTACAAATAAATAAATATAATTAATACAATAATACACAATTGGAGACATCCTGGTCAAAGTTATTAAAATCAATAAATAAAATCAATTAAAATGCCACTTAATTTATTTATTTAAAACATTTCTATGCCGCCCCATTGCAATAAGCCTCGGGGCGGCTCACAACATCAAAAAAAGTCAACCATACATTAAAACCCCCAATACAATAAACCCCCCAGTACCATAAAACCTCAATAAAACCTCAGTGCATTCTCAGCTAAAAAAAACAAACCCTAGTTAAATAAATAAATAAACAATTAAAATAAGTTTTAAATAAAAAGGTCTTAGCCTGGCACCGAAAAGCAAATAACGGCGCCAGGCGGACCTCTCTGGGGAGCACATTCCATCGGTTGGGTGCCACCGCAAAGAAAGCCCTCCTCTGGGTGCTCACCCTCCTAATGTCCTTCACGGAGGGCTCCTGGAGAAGGGCCTCAGCCGCCTATCTCAAGGGGCGGGAGGGCACACATGGACGTAAGCACTCCTTTAGGTAACCAGGACCCAAGCCGTTAAGGGCTTTTTAGGTGATAACCAACACCTGAATTGGACCCAGACTTCAATGGGGAGCCAGTGAAGCTGACGGAGGACTGGAGTTATGTGAGCACAACGCCCAGTCCCCGTCAGCAACCTGGCAGCTCTGTTTTGCACCAATTGAAGTATCCGGACCGTCTTCAAGGGCAGCCCCACGTAGAGCGCGTTACAGAAGTCTAGTCGGGAAGTTACCAATGCGTGAGTCACTGTTGCCAGGCAGTCGTCCTCCAGGTAGGGGCGCAGCTGGTGAATCAGCCGAAGCTGAAAGAAAGCGCTCCTCGCCACCACTGTCACCTGAGCTTCCAGCGAAAGCTCTGGATCGAGGAGCACTCCCAAGCTGCAGACCTTGTCCTTCAGAGGGAGTGCGACGCCATTCAGGACAAGGTCAAGGTCCCCTTCCCCGAAGCCCAAACCACCTACCAGCAGGACCTCCGTCTTGTCTGGATTGAGCTTCAGTTTATTGGCCCTCATCCAGCCCATTACCTCAGCCAGGCACTGGTTCAGTACAGCCACTGCCTCACCTGGATTGGTTGAGAAAGAGAAGCAGATCTGGGTATCATCAGCGTACTGATGATTCCGCAGCCCACACCTCCTAATGACCACTCCCAACAGTTCCATGTAGATGTTGAATAGCAAGGGGGACAAAATGGACCCCTACGGAACTCCATGGCATAACTGCCATGGCACAGAGCCCTTGTCCCCCAGCACCTAAAAAGTACTGACCATTTTAGGCCTTATGCATTACTTCAGTGGGTCAGCTTAACTTAAAGCAACATCACCTCTTAGCCTTTAAAAAAAAAAAAAAGGTCTGTACCAATAAAAACTGTGACTGTGTAGGTGTGAGTCAACCATAATGATTCTGATCGAACACACTTGAGAGCCCATTATTGGGCCTATGCTGTGGCGGTGAGGATGGCAAAGAAGAAATTCTTCTCCGTTTCCATTGCCTCCTCACAATGCCATCCGGCGGAGCTCTTCCGGGTGGTGCAGGGGCTGATACATCCAGGCCCGAAGATACGTCTTGTGCCACCCTCGAAGGCCCGCTGTGACGTCTTTGCCAAGCATTTCAGAGAGAAAATCACTCAGATTTGCCACGAGCTTGACTCTGCTATTGGATCAGATTCTACTGGGGAGACGCCATCGACGCTGTTAAGTCCACAATTAATGGATGAATTTCAGTTGTTGTGGCCTGATGATGTGGACAAGGTGCTTGGACAAGTACGTCCTACCACTTGCTTACTAGACCCATGCCCATCTTGGCTACTTAAGAAAGCCAAGGACGGGAGTGTGACCTGGATCCTGGAGGTGGTCAACGCCTCTTTAAGAGAAGACTGGGTACCTGCCCCTTTAAAGGAAGCAGTAGTC